GGCATTTTAACGAGTTGTGGAGCGACTAAAGGACACCATTTGCATGTTGTTGGGAGTTTGGGTTTATTATAACGTTCATCTGGGAACGCAACGTGCGCCATTTCATCAGATTTGTAAGGTAAATAATTTATAAATCCACACAAACACAGGAGAATACATTGCGGTAAAAACAATCGTCATGCCGTTGGTGTTCACTTACATCTATTTTTATTACCACAAAAAAATTAATTATAATTATAGGGCCCAATGAAATCGGTTTTATTTCCAAATTCAGTGTTTTTCCATTTAAATTTTTCTATACTCTGTTTTAATGGTTAATTTAAATTTTATTAATCAAAAAAGCCTGTCTAATTAATTGAGTTTTACAGTTTTATATTAGTAGACTAGAACACGGGGATATGTTGTCATTCTTACACTATAATACTGAACTCTGATTTCAGTGATTTGGACTATGAGATGGACACTTGCTTCTTGCACTCTGTTGCACTTTACTTTTGCTTTAAAAAAAGGATTTCATAGAAATTTGGATTTCATTTGTTTTAATAAAATATAGTTTAGTAAAATATTCTTAAGTAAAATTGTAGATTTTTTTTGTGGGAAATTAATCGTTTCGATTAATCGATAAATGTGTCGATAGATTAATCGAAATAAAAATAGTCATTAGTGGCAGCCCTAATATATATATATATGAACATAGGGCTGGGCGGTATGACGGTATATCGCAATCGTGAACTTGGGATGTGCATTATGTTTAATAAAGTTATTAAGTGCAGTAAGCAGTGAAAAAGAACTCAATGCTGTGCTCGCGCTGACACAGCAGAAGCGCGCGCACTGAAAGCCCCTCTCTCGACAGCATGCGCAACCCTCTTCATTGCAAGTAAATCACTCGCATATGTGACTAAATCTTCACTGGGCGACTAAATCAGGGTGTCCGCGGGGTCTTAAAAAGTATTAAAAGTTGATAAATCAATTTAGATCAAATGAAGGCCCTTAATAAGTATTAAAAAGTTTTAAATGCCATTTTATTAAATTTTGTATCATCTTTTCATTATGTATATTTGTCCGAATAGTGGGGTTTTGTGTAGTTTATTTATAGAATCCCGCAAGATTTGACGTCATCTGTTACGGCGCTCACTGACGGACTGCACCACTGCGTGATAGCGCGGGGCTTGTTGATCCCGCTCTCGCTGAACTTCTGACCATTACCGCATGCTCCCATCCGCTCCCGCAAACATTCTAATATTGTATATAGTTTTTGCACATCAGGGCACCGCTATCAATATGTGAATGAGCGCTCGCAGTTCACTTTCACTTTCGATTTCGCGATCGCGCGCACACTGTGTAAAGGGAGCACTTCCTACGATAAAAGATATTTGTCAGTGAGCTCAGGATCTGTTGAGGAGCAAATCCTCCAACATCTTTATCAGTTATCTCTCCTTACTTTTGACCCGTGATCAGTCAAATCTGACTTCTGCAGCTCGTGTTGGATGCAGGGTTTCACGAAATTGGGCTGCTTTTAAACTGTTGCCATGGGCTGATTTTCCCCAGTGGGTTAAAGGTTTGAAATATTGCATAAATTACATTTGGTTGAGTATAAATCTCAATTTCCAAAAATTGACCCTTATGACTGGTTTTGTGGTCCAGGGTCACATATAGTGACATGCAGACGCTGACAACACAGCAGGTGTCACACGTGTTTGAGTTTGTGTAATAAATGAAACTGCGCCACTCATTCACACAGAAACACGCAGACTTATTAGTGACATGTACTGACTGGCTGTTGTGTTTGAATTTGCTTTGTGATAGGCAGTTAGATTAATACATATCGAGTAAAACTGTCCAGAGCTTATCGTTATCGCCATAAATTGTATCGCGATCTCAATATGATGTTATTTATCATCCAGCCCTACATAAAATTAATGACCTTGAAATATCCATCTGTTTCTCATATAAAGCTATCGAACAGCTTCGGAAGACTTGGAACATAGTGCACGAAAAGTTTCATGGTGCCTTTGTCGTACTTGTTTGGCTTTTTCTGGTTCCATTGAACCGAAAACTGATCCTGCAAAAAAGGTCTGTATAGGTGCCAGTGCTGATCCAGGTATCGGACTGGTGCTTCCTTAGATGTGAATAATAATATTGAAATGTAAAATGATTAACCCCAATTTTAATGGCCAGGATTATCATGTTTATCACAGTGAGTTTGTGTGTTTGTGTGTGAAATATTCATGTTTTTAATGCCGTTACAGTGAAGGTGTGACTTCTAAATGTGCATGTATGTTACAGCTCTGTGTTATGTCTGTGAAGAGCCCATCAGACCTGCACAATGAAAACACCTACATCCCACCTTCACTGACCCTTGACCTCTGCTTATCACATGAAAGAAAGTTGGGCCTGACAGATACTCGTGGGTCAAATCCTTTCTCTCTAAAGAGTCAACTTAATTACGGCAGCACAACCTCCATTCAGCCCCTCAAAGGCATTATGGGAGGACTAGACGATGATGATGTATCCCTCCGGCACCAGGAAGATGAATGGAGCAGAAATCAGGAGAATGAACACAGTCTTCCAGGCTCCGAGAGCAACGCCAAGTGGATGAAGGAAGATCAGAATCAAATATGCAAGTTAGCAGAGCAGCAGCAGCAGCAAGACCAGAATCTTAACCTGGTTGAAAACAAGAATGAAACCACTGACAGAAACCCAAACCAGAACTCACAGCAGCACCATGAAGAGAAGAACAAGACCCTGAAAGCTCTCTGCTCTGACCACAGTTGGGCAGCTGATGAACCTCTTCTGATTTACACTCTGATGGAGAAGAATCAAGAAAACCAAGAGGAGACAAGAGAAGAGAAAAATTTAAATCCCACTGGAGGCGAGAACACCAATTCATCTGAGATTCAGAAGATAGGAGGTGAAGGTGGCAGCAGAAATGCTTGTTTGCTGTTCAGTAAGCACGGCATTCCCAGTGATGAGGACTCCAGCTGCATGTCGCTGTCACAGGGAAGCACTACAAGCAGCACCCCAGATGGAGAGCCAGGTGAGTCATGCAACATGGCAGATGAGCACAGAAAAAAAATGGCAAGAGTGGTCTGTTAAAGTCCGTGTAAAGTCAATATTAAATGTGTGATCTGAGTTTATCACACCACAGAAAAATGTGTTATTAACTAGAAATCGACCGATATATTGATTTACCGATATTTTCCCAGATATTTAAGCATTTTTCCGTAATTGGATATCGGTTTTGTAATATCGGATTCACCGATAAACGCCGCCATCTTGTGGGTGTTTTGAAAATTGCGCGCAGGATCGCCTTTGCAGCGCGTCTGAGGGGAGACGAGACAACAACAGCGTGCAGCGATCTGACCCAGTAGACGCCATAATCCCACTCTCTCTCTCTCCCGCTTTCTGTGTTTTTTTTTTTGTTTGTTTTTAAATGGTGGGTGTTTACGCAGTTGGCTAGAGCAGTGCTGATTGGGGAGAATGGAGGTGCGCTCACTCTATTGGTTAGTAAGACTGCAACTCAAGGCTGGCAGTCATGCATATGCTCTGGAACAGAGTAATATCGCGTCCATATCGCAGGCTTTGCGATTAGGAAATCGCAACGTCTCAAATCGCGATTTCGATTTGATTTCGATTAATCGCACAGCCCTACTCTGTACACACAACAGGTGCAGCCCCGAACCAGCCAGCCAGTGGCAACTGTCCTCCCCCTCCACACACACACACACACACACAAACACACAC